TGATAAAATAAATGCTTCCGTCTGAATGTATTGCTAGTGGACCTTATTAATATAATCAGTTTTCTTTGCATTAATGTTTTCTTTTGCAACAGCAGCAGTTGCCACTAATTCCAAATGAAATTTCTTAACGACTGACACAGCGTGTGGTGTACTATTTTTAGTAACCACACAAACTTTCTGAAGACAAATTCCCCCCCATCTTTCCATCTTTACAACTGAGAAACTTAACAGACGTGCAAAGAAAGACTGCAGAGCATTTGGAAAGTCTCTTTTGACCTTTAATGAGCTTTCCACTGGGTTCTAAGTAACTTCTGTAGGTGTTGTCCAAGCTGTAGAAGGCGGGTGCAGCGGTAGCACTGGTTAAGTACGTCTCTGTTTTTAAGTTAAGGCCTAGGATGAGCTCTGTCCAGTCTCTTCCGTGTTCTGGGAGTTCATGCAAAAATAACGATGGACTCGTCGAATCGTTTGGGTTGGAAGGCTCTGTGGAGGTCCTCTGGTCCAAACGTGCCTCAAAGCAGGGCTAACTTCAAACTTAAATCAGGTTGCTCAGCACCTTGTCCAGTGGAGTTTTGAATACCACTATGGGTGGAAACATCCTTGAGAGAGCCGCGAGTAGGGAAATAGGACAACTGTTGCTCGTGTCCCCTTCTTGACCAAAAGCCTGTGGTCTGTTGCAGCTATCGATGTCACTTACTTGCTGGAGGAAGGATCAGGAAGAAAACTGAGGCGACGCACTCTCACCATCCCGGAGAGCAGCTTCAGGAAGTGATGCCACCAGAGGAAGCTTGGAAGCTGTGGTCTGGAGTCTGCTACAAGGTCTGCTGAGGACTGAGGGCAGGAGCCCACCTTCCTCTGCACCAGCCAAGGAAAAGAGGGCAGCAGCAAACTGACAAATATACAAACAGTTAGCACTTAGATGTCTGGGTTGGCAGGTTGCCCTGCCCTGCTCTGCAGTGCTCTTATGGTGTGTGTGTTGTTGGGCGTGCCTTGTATTGATGTTAGGTACTGAGAAAAACCTCGTGGTTATTGTCCAGGATGGTCAAATTTAATTTATTTTTGCTTGATATTCCCACTCAGAGGAAAAATAAAAATAAAAAACAAAAAAAAACAACACAAAAAAAATGGGGAGGTGAGAAGGATAAGGACTGACTTACTCTGATGAGAATATTCCCCATGTTCACCAATTAACCTGTGATTGTACAAGATACTGTTGGCACCACCACGGCCCATGCCAGTGAATGAAATCCAGATGGGAGGGTGAAGGCCCAGTGGCTTAAAATTAAAGGCTGCCCTAAAGTTGTGGCCTCTGATTTGCACAAGTTCCAAGAAGAGAGAAACGTCCCCGAACGTGCGAAAGGTTCACCGTGGAACGGCCGGTGCACACATGTACCTTTGGTCTGTGACAAGGAGAAACTTCCAGAGTCACCTCGGAGCAAAGCAGGAGTTGGCTGGTTGAGGCACTTGTTCTGCGTCGTAGAGGGGGGGAGGGAGCGGGGTGTGATTTTTTTTTTTTTTCACTTTTTTCTGCAGAGAAGTTTTATAAAGCGAGTCAAATCCTGACAACACCATTGCTGTTGGTTTTTTTGATAAGCTGTGGTTCTCGTGTGTCTAGTGTGTTGTGCAAATTAAAATCTGTTAAAAGAAAAAGAAAAAAAAAAAAAAAGGAAACCTTCACTACATGAACCGTCAAGCAGTATTCAGAGCGAGTATTTGTTGTGAACTGTAGAATATATCAACTGCTAACACTATTCTTGTGTTCTGGTTGTACAGCTTAAAATGTCCGTCTCTTAAATTAAGAGACAGTGTATCTCGCACCGCCCTCTCTCTCTGCCCTGACGAGAAGTAGTATTCCCGAAAGCAACGGCCGAGGCACCGATCGCTCGCCGCACGAAATTGCGATTGCCGCAAGGAAGCAGTGCCGCGGCGGGACTCCCCGCGCTGGGCCCGACGACCTTCCCGGCGCGCGGAGCCGCGGTCGCCGCCGGGCCGGGGCCAGGCTGTGGCAAAGGGCGGGGGTGGGCGGCGTACGCTGCCCCTTTAAAATGGCTTTGCTTTTTTGTCCTTCAGACGTACATATGCATATACAGTCCTGTTTTAGATGTTCTTATAAGAAAACCAGTTTTTAATGTGCCAAGTTGTATATATCTGCTGCGTGGATGTAAAGCAATACAGTAGTTACATGTTCCTTTTTAATGGACCAAGCTTGTCCTAATGTACATTCTTGTTATTATTATAATTATTTTACTCCTAGTGGAACATGACTCATTCCATTAACTTTTATGTGTTGATTTAAAAAGAAAAAAAAAAAAAAAAAGAAAGGAAAAAAACCCTTTGAGAAAAAATATTTTATTAAAAAAAAAAAAGAAATAAGAAAATAGTTTGGAATATTTTCTTACTGTAGAGAAGCACTGTACAGTACCAGGAACCCTGAGTATAAAATACTCGTGCGTGTAGTAGGAATATCGCATGTCCAAAATCTTGAGTTGTCTCATTTAGTTTAAAACAGAAATCATTGTCTCAAATGGTGTTAAACACTAAAAAGTTTTTAAAAAATAAAGTGCGTACAGAAGCGAGACACTAGCTCTGTCATTTTATCTTTCTTTTGTTGAAAGACTAAACAAAATGTTTTTTAGACAATCAAATGTTAGGTAAGTGCAAAGAATTGTTTTTTCTTACTGGTGTAGAAATTAATGACTTTTTTTATTTTTCGGTTATTTTATAATAACGAGAAGACCGGTGTGTCACCAGGATCGCTGTTTTAAGACCAGGAAGCACTACATTATTGCAAATAGCTATGAACTCTTAGTCTGCATGGGTGTAGGCTGTGTGATTGCTGAAAATAAATGCTGCTAATATATTTCCTTTTTACAAAGCATATCTAAATAGATCATTGTTTTGATGTTAATCTTTGTAAATTATGTATTACCAATTTTAACATTGGATGTAATTGCATAAAAAGCCTGCATCTCAATCCTGAGAGAGTCTAGTATTAAATGGAAAATCTTTTCCTATCGCTGACTTGTGGGGTTTTCTTTGGCCTGTCTTTGGTTTTCCTCTCTGGCCTCTCTCAGCCGCTCCTGTCGTGTTCTGGCTTTCTTCCAGCCTCTCCTACGGGGGTTGTTGCCCCATCTCTTTCGAATATCCAGTTGCCCGGTGGCGTGCCGCGAGGATATCGTTCGGTGCCGATGGTTCTTCTGGTCAGGCCTTGGCAGGAGGGATGACGGCAGCGGGCGTACAGAGACGGACGTTCGCTGTTGGGTAGGCAGAGGCTGCGTCACCGTGGTCGTACGTAACGGCGGGTCAGGGTGCGGACCGTCACGTCTACGCGTTCAGCGCCCGTTCCCGGAGCGCAAACCCTGGAGACGGGGCCGCCCGCAGACGCCAGACGGTCGCCGTCGGTGCCGCATCTCAGCGGCGGTGCGCTTACATCACGAGCGTTGGGCCAGAGCCACCTCAGACGAATGAAACGAATGAAACACCTTATCGAGGACCCTCCTTTAATGTAACTTCATTTTTCTTTTTCCATCCCGTGGCCTGACTCTCTGATCATCAAAATGCCATGCTTGACCGGTACACTTGCCTTCCTTTTAAACCAGAGACTGCACCAAGGACGGGAGTGCTTATTTTATTTAAAAAAGAGTTGAAAAAGTACCTGGATTCATCTCCTGCTGCCTTGACCCCATTTTAAAGTCCAGAGGCAGCTGTGGAATTCAATCAAACCTACTTAAGGCAAGGCAAATAACATTCCAATTAAGAGAGAGTGTCCCTTGCCTGAGAGTAAAGATTCCAGAGAGAGAAAGGAAAATGAGAGCAGAATGAGAAGAGAGCGGCTTCACCCTCGAAGCAGAGGCTTTGCCACTGAAACAGTGGAAGTTGGAAGGCAGCAACGTGGCTCTTGGGCCAGATGCGAGAGCCCAGGAGTTGCCCCTACGGCAAGCGGCCATCGCCTTGTGGCCCTTTGCTGGACGCTCCCCAGTACGGCCACATCTCTCTCCTACTGGGGAGCCCAGTGCAAGATGGAAGTAGCCTGCTATGAAATCACAAGCAATGAGAAAAATTTCAAACCAATAAGTGCCATCCAGCCCCTACTGGAACCCTGTGACTCAGTCAAAAGATGAGTTTAATTTCATAAATAAACCAACCAACATCTACCTTTGCTGTGCAGCGTCCATCTCGCGGGGCTGCTAGCGGCCAGCTGGAGCGACGCACGCTTCGCCGGGGTTCTCGCTGGCTCTGGCAGTCTGCAGCCGCCTCGCCCTACGCCATGGCGGAGACGGCGCCTTCTGCCAGGGCGCGATGCCATACGGGGCTCTGGCTGAGGCCTGCCGTTGGTACGCTGAGCACCGGCGCGGCCCCGGCCCACGCTGGCTTTGCCTGCAAGAGCATTTACTCAGCGAAGCCCCAGCACCGTGCAGGAATGGGCCACATGGCCGTTTCCAGCCCCCCGCAATGATCCAGTCACACACGCGGACACGTGAGTCACAATCTTTATTTCCAGCTTTTTCCCCCTGGAATACACGCATTCCTGTGGTTACAATTATTTACAGAGTGCTGGGACTGCGCATTGGTGGCCCGGGCCACCAGCCCCGGCCACGGGGCAAAGCAGAGCACGTGGAGGTGGCGGCGGTGGCAGGACACGACGGCACAGAGACGACATAGAGGACGGTGAGCACCGCTCAGGGACAGGGTCCTTCCCTCTCCTGGCACAGGCGTGGGCAGCGCTGAGGAAACACGAACGAGAGCAGGTCCCAAAGAGGGGCCACGGCGAAGCGCCAGCAGATCTGCGGGGACACGCGCAGCAGCGGCTCGTGGGACGCGCCCACGGCAGACGGTGACGTCTTGCGAACGAGCAGCGGTGACAGGCGCCAGGACAGGGTCCCCTGCAGAATCTGCCAGCCCTGAAGGTGGTGAAGCCCCAAAGGTGGTGAAGCCGTGGCAGGAGGCAGCCGTTCCCAGAGGTGGCACTGCTTCAGCTGCTTCCTCAGGTCTCCTCCGCCTCCTCACAAAATTAGGGATGTGTAGCCGACAGGAACTAGGCCAGTGCTGTTTCCATGGCAGCAGCGGATCCAGTCTTCATCCACGGTGGAGAGCAGCTGGAGGATGTCCCCTTTCTGGAAGCTCAGGTGCCCCTCGGCGGTGCCCGTGTGGTCGCACAGCGCCCGAACCGCCCTGCACGACAAACGGCATCGGGGGTCCGTCTCCCCAGGGACCCCGGGTACCACTGAGAGAAGCTCCCACAGGTTCTGACGCTCGTGTGGAGCCACCCCCCTCCCCAGGCAGAGACGCCAGCTGACGATGGACTCGATCGAGAAGCCACATCACAAAACCGCCCGGCCAAGCAGCCCCTGGGAGCAGCAGCAGCGCGGGAGCAGCGCTTGTGCAGACGTGGAGCAGAGCTCTAGGGCAGGGCCAGCGAGGGCTGGGGAGGAGGGAGACGGCCGAGTGTGCTGTGGGACGGCCGCTCGCCCTCCGGGCTCACTTGGCCAGACGCTGCGCAAGCGCAGACGGAGCGCTCCAGCTTTTCTGACCTGCCACAATTTGGGCAGAGGTGCCACATAGTTGCCCCAACAAGCTGTCACGACTTCAGAAAGCACACAAGAGAGAGAAAAATGTTAAAAATCCCCCCCAAAAAAACGTCTGGGGAAAACAACTGGTCACAGCTAGGCAGACAGACAGGGTCACCCAGCGCTCAGCAGGAGAGGAGGGGACTCCCCGGGGCAGCAGTCAAGGCGCAAGGTGGCAACAAGGCGCGGTGCAAGCCCTTCCCTGGAAAGGCGTGTGGGATATCCAGGCTATGCCTGGCAACAGCCCCTGCTTCCATCCCCCCCCCAAAAACCACCATCAGCTTTCCAGCCCCGAACAGGACGTTTTCCAGCACCCTGCATCACCTGTGGGGCTGGGGCACGTCCGACACGTTCCTCTCTGGCTGTTCTTCATCACGGGTCTTCTCGGACGCCAGCCCCTTCACCACCACGGCCAGGACTCGGGCGCTGGGGGAGAGCCAGCTAGAGGGTCTCCTGCCACAAAGCAAAGGAAGCCACGAGCTCGTCTGGGAAGCCTTTTCCCACCCATCCTGCTCAGAAAACTATTGTGGCGATCCGGGAGCTGCCGAGGGCTCTACCAAGCACCACCAAGTGAGCTCCTGCTGCTCTCAAGGACTGAGGCAATGGGATGGCAGCAGCACCTGGGACATGTGCCGATCCCCCGGCACAGCCCAACAGCCCTGGAGCGCGACCCGATAACGGGCAGCACAAGACGCCCCATGGGCCGCTCTCCGTACACTGCCTGGGAGAAAAACCTCTTCCCCAGGCCATGCCGCTTCCCCCGCCCTGCCTGCCCGAGCGGGGGCTTACCTGGACCTCGCTGAGACGGCGTCAGGACTGGGAGGGAAGCTCCTGGCAGAGGGGCTGGTGGCTCCGAAGAGGCGGCCCAGCCAGCTGCCCTTGTCAGGACCAGGACCACCAGCCTCTGGCTGGGAAGGGGCTGCCCGGTCCCTATTCGCATCAGGCTCTGGGGAAGCAGCCAGGAGTTTCTCTCCAGCAGCAGGATCACCTGGCGTGGCAGCTGCTCCAGCTCCAGCAGGCAAGATGAGGTCTTCAGGAGAAGAGGTCCCAGAGGTGTCAGCACTGCTGCTGGGCTCTGGACCGGAAAGTTCGGGGACAGCTTTGGTCTGAAGGAGCTGCAGCTCCGTGCCTCTTGGCTCATTCACGGATGCATGGGGTCGTGCAGCCTGGCCGGGGCTGGAATCCCCCGCAGCCGTCCGCAGCTTTGTCCACCAGATGAAGGGGACCTTTTCCTTGCTAGGAGCAGCGTAAATCCTGGAGGCCTGGCTCAGCTGGCCCCACCAGCCACTGAGGCCAGCCCCGTCATCCCGAGGGCCTGCCTCGGGCCCGTGGGTCTCTGGGGGGCTGTCAGCTCCCAGGAGAGTGCGGCTGAGCTGGTCGCCCCACCGCAGCACGTGCTGGAAGGTCTGCTGCAGGGCAGCCCCCACCTGGGGGCCAGGGACCAGCCCGCGCCCGGCTGCCTGGGACTGGGACATCACGCTGCCCTCCGCACCGGCTGCCCTCCCCAGGGTATCGGGGGGAAGCTCCTCGTCCAGGCTTGCCCCCGCAGCAGCGCCGCGGCCCTCCAGAGAAGGCTGCGCAGCCCCCCGAGCCCGAGCGGCGCGATGGGCAGGAGCCAGGGGTGACTCCAGCCGACGGGACAGGGGTCTCACATCCACGGAGAGGTGGTGGTGTTCAAAGAGCAGGTCGAGGTGGAAAGTCAGCACGGAGAGGGGCTGGATGAGCAGCAGCAGTTCCTCAGCGAGGTGGGGAAGAGGGCCTTGACTCAGGGCAAAGAAGGCCGTGGGTGAATACAGCAAGGAGATTACACCTAGGAGATACGGATGGCGCTGGACAGCTGCAAAATGCCCTGCCCTTGCCCACACATCCCTCCCAGGGCCGGCTGCCCCGTCCTAGCAGGCCCAAATGACAAACTGACTGCCTGCATCCAGTACGACAGCCACGGAAAACGATGCCCTTGTCCGCTACGGAAACCCCAGCCAAGCATTGTGGGTGGAGCAGGTACGGGATTACCAGCCTGGCACGTAGGAGAGGACTTGGGTGGGGAGCTTCTGGGCACCGTGTCCTTACCTGGGCTCTTCTGTAGGTGAGAGATCCACAGCTCCAGCTGCTTAATGCTAAACAAGACAAAGGGAACCCAGGTGAGAGCTCCTGGGACTCTGCTCCACCCTGCCATCGCGGCAAGGCCAGCCTGGACCACCAAGGGCCAGCACTCACTTCAGAAGGCCGAGGATAAAGGCATGAAACTTCTGTCTGGTGCTGTTGAGAGGGGCCAGCCCGGCCACGTGCCAGCACAGGGAGTGGAGAGAGCGGGTGTTGGGGCCTGTGGAACACACGACACAGTCACTGCTGCGGGGGTACAGCCTCCCCCAGCCCGGGCTGGAAAAGGGCTCCAGGCACCGTGAGATGCTGCACTCAGCATCTCCAGGAGCACGGTCTTCACACCGACCTGTCTTCACGGAGGCTTCCACCACGCTCCAGGGTGAATTTTTCCTCTGGCCTGTGATAACATCCTTCTGGAACGGCTTCAGCCCGTCCTCCACCAAGGCATAGAGCGCAGGGCAGAGGGTGTGCAGCAGCAGGTAACCCACATCTGGGTTGAGCCGGCTGTCTCCCAGCTGGGCCTGAAGCAGGGAGGCACAAAGAGAGGAGAGGGAGGGGAACGGCAGCACCTAACCCTGCGCCTGCAGGGAGGGATGGTGGGATCCTGCCCCTGGAGCTCCCAGAGTCCCTCCTGCCCGAAGCCTGCACGGCCTGCCCTCACTCCTGCCCACCCCAGCCCGGCCAGAGCCTCGGGCCAGACCCTCACCTTCTGCACCAGGTTCCGCGCGGTGCTGAAGTGGGCGATAATCTTATCCACGGCGGTGCTGACGGCGATCAGCAGGGCTGTTGGACACCGGGAAGGAAGGCGTCAGCACGGCACCCAATCCCCACTGCGGCACTCAGCCCATCAGCAGCGTGCGGCTGGCTGGCATCGCACCGGCCCTGGCCACCAAGGCCTGGAGGAGCCGGGGAGGAGCGGGCAGGAGCCAGGAAGGCCCAGGATGACGGAGCATCCCCGGCCGTTGCCATGGGAACCTCGCGGGTGCAGGGATGCAGGACCCGCGGTTTCCAAGGGGCCGGGGACCCGCAAGGCGGCTCCGAGATGCGGAGGCTGCCCCACGCCCGCTCCCCGGCTCCGCAGCACCCTCTGCCTGCCCCTGCCCGGCCCTGCCTGCCCCTGCCCGGCCCTGCCCGGCCCGGGGGGCCCCACCCCCGCCACCTCCCGCAGCCCCGCTCG